TTTTCCTATCATTTCACAATGTCTATCATACCTCTGAGTTTAAATTAACTCCTTCAGGTTTTACACTAGTGAGACAATGTGGTGCTTGCACATGCAGGTCTGATTTATTTCACTTATGAGTAGTGACCATTTACCTATAAAATCCTTGAGTTTTTCTTTCTTTATAGCTGAGTAATATTCCATTACATAAAAGTACCACAATTTTCTTATCCAATCCTTGGTGGATGGACATTTGTGTTGCTTCCACAATTTAGCAATTACAAATTGTGCTGGTATGAACATAGGTGCACATATATCGCTGTGATATGATGCCACTTGAAGATTGATCAGGACCGGAATGCTGCAGGCAAGAGACAAAAAAAAAGCAAAATGGAGGATAAAACCACAGCAAAGATAGGGTCACCCAGGGGAAGGGTAGAGCCAAGAGAAGCCCTGGGAACACTGGGAACCCTACAGTGAAGCTGAGGCTACAGGGCCTGAGCCTGTCCTTGCTCCCCCTTGTGACTTCAGGAAGAATGAGGATGGCAGAGCTATAGGAAGTGAGCAGCGGAGAGGTAGGAGGAGAAGCAGCTGGTTTGGGTAGTTTGTGAAGGCCTGCCCCTGTCACTCTGCTCAGAGAAATGGCAGTCACAGTGACTTTGGCAAGAGCAGAGCTTTGGAGGGAAAGGAAAGTGAAGAGGTAGAGACAGTGAAGATTTCTCTTTTGAGAAACCAAAGAGGTGAGAAAGAGGGAGGTAGAGGAATAGTTTCTAATTACTCTCTGTATGGTCTGCTCCCCTTTGAAATAAAACAGACCTGGGCACTTTGGGGGGCAAAAAGTTCAGAGGGTGACAGACTCAGTCTAGCAAGGGGTAAGAGCCCCAGGGAGGTAGGCTCCTGTTATGGATGATGGGGCTAGGTGCTCAGCAAGGGGGCTATGAGGAAAGATGACCCTATTGCCTACATGGGAAAGTTAGTGAGCAGGCACCCAGGCCACTTAAGAGAATTATCTGATCCTGCAATGTGGGTTTGAGGATCAAGCGAGACCTAGGCTGGGTGACAGTGGAGCAGGGCTTCTGAAAGGGAGGGTATGAAAAGGGAAGCAGACAGCCAGAGCTAGAGAGTGGAGATGGAGCAGTCAGTCATCTTCAAGGCAGGACCAGCCTCAGGCCAGGCTCCCTGACAAGCTGTGGGAACCATTCTCCTCTGTCGCTGCTCCTGTAGGTGTGGACTTTGCATGAGGCATTAGTAAGGCAGGCAGAAGAGCCCTGACTTTGGAATGTTTAGAAATCCGGGTGACCCTTGACAGGGCTTCAAACCAGTCGTGTCTACATCTAGAGGGTTACAGACACCTCAACAGATGTCTGGGGTGCTGAGGCAAAGGAAGGTACCGATGGCGGGGGGTCTCCTTCATGGAACCAAGAGATGAAGTCACCAACTCCTGTCAGAAGACAGTGGGTCTTAGTCTAGAAGAGCCTGGGGACCAGGTGGAAGGATAAACACGAAAACACAGGAGGGCTCAGGCAGGGGCCAAGACCTCACAAGGAGGGGTGTTTCCCGGGGATGGAGCAGAGGAGGCCAGCATCCCACACTCGGAATCTCCCGCCCTTGAGCTAGTCTGCTTGGGGACAGCTATGTTTCGAAGCCCGGAGTAATGCGAGCTGTGTTTCGGCGCCACGAGTAAGGCGGGCTTGGCTTGATGTAGAAATTCTGGTCGAGGCAGAAGATCCAGGCAGTGGGGGTTCCACTCTCAGAACGCAAAGAAAAGCACTGCTCAGAGCCGAACACCTGGCCGTGCTCGCGCCCGCGCCGCCGCAGAGGAGGCGGGGCACTGGAGGACCCGCCCTATATGCTAATAAGGCATGCCATCTCCCCGCCCCGACCTGGGCGTCAGACTGACCCAACGCCGCGGAGGCTCAGGGCCCAGCGGCACCCGCTAGTGCCTCTACCGATACTAAGTCGAGGTGGAACGCCGCGATTCGGGCTGGAGGCTGGCGGCAAAGACCAGAGGCCGTCAGCAGGTTGCTCGGCCTGCGGGGCCATGGCTCCCCCACCTGCACGAAGTGGTACGGTCTGTAGGGGCGGGGCCCCAGTCATGTGACGCGACCGCAGCCGCCATTTTGCTCTGCGGTGCTGGTATTTAGAGCGCAGCGGCTGACGGGCCGGTTAACCTTATCCTTCGCTGCCTCCTGCTTCTGTGCTCGCTCGCCTGCCTGCCCGCCCTCCCTCCTCGTTCCGAATTCAACCGCCTCGCTTGCCCCCGCCTCGCCTGCAGACATGTCCGAGGCCAAACCCACCCCCGAATATGCTTCGTTTTTCGCCGTGATAGGCGCCTCGGTCGCCATGATCTTTAGCGGTGAGCGCCGTGGCAGGCGGGGGCCAGGACGGGGTGGGGGGCGCCGGGACGCCGAGGTTTCTTGCCAGCGGCTTGCGGGGGGGGGGCGCGTGACGTCACGCTGACGTAATCGCCCCCTTTCCTGGGTGGCCGCGAGTACAAGAGGGGGACCGATCTTGATGGCTTTGGGGGCCCTCGTGGGCGCAGGCGTGCGGGTTCAGTATCCCCAGTGTCCCGGCCAGCGGCCCTGTCAGCCAGCATGCATCGGTGCGGGGGTGGGGCGGCAACACTGCTGCCATTTTAGCCCTGGGAGGCGAGAGGAAGGCTGGGGTGGGGGCGCTAGGGGCGGTGCGCTGTCCTGCGCCTGCTCCGCACCCCGCATTTTGCGGGCAGGTGTGACATCACACCTAGGAAGGCTCCGGTTCGGGGGCGGCGGCAGGCCAGGGTCGGGAGCGCCTGGGCAGAGTCCCTGGCCCTCTGGCCTCCTGGCCTGTACGAACCCGTCCAACCAAGGTCTGCAGCCCTGGCTTTTGTGGTGGCCAGGATGGCGGGGGTTAGATGGGGTGTACCCTGAGCCAGATGCTTCTGGTTGGGGATCGTCGCAGTTTTCCAGTAGTCCAGTCAGCTCTGTGGGTTGGTTGGGAAAGCTGGGCTGAAGGATGGACTCAGGGCGCCCATGGGTTCCCAAAGGTGGCCGTGAGAGCTTATGGAAATGAGGCTGGTGGGGGTGGTGTCTGGGAGACAGCACTTGTGTGGACGTTTGCTGAGGGTCTGTGTTTCAGAGTGGGAGAGAGGGCAATAAGAGCCTCCAGCGTTTGTAGGATTGGGTCTTTGTTCTTTAGGAGAGTCCAATTCTGTCCCTAATGAATGTGTGGGTGAATGAATGACCTTCCTTCTCTTCAGGGGCCTGAAAACGGGAGGGACTGCCCTAGGGTGAAGAAGTGGCCTAACAAGGTTCTTGATGGCATCTGCTTTTGAGGTTGGGTGACAGTAGTCCTAGAGTGTCAAGTTTAATGAAAATTGGCTTTTCTGGGTAAGGGAGATTGAGCCAGACCCAGGAATGTGGGACTGAGGGAGGTAAGTCACAGCTCTGTGGACTGGCCTGGCCTGGTCTGGGCCTCCTTAGGTAGGTCTGGTTTTTTGTTTAAGTGGCCCCGCCCTGCCCCACCCTACCTGGTGGACTGGGGAAGCTCCTAAAGTAGGTATGTTCAGGGTTTGAACTCCAAACAAGCTCTGCTGACTGTAAATACCAGTGGAGTGGGGGCTTAGAGGCCCTGTTCTTTTGGGGGCCTCCCTCTGCCCGGGCCTGTCTGTTAGTCACGCGCTGCTGAGTGAGTCTTGACCTTCCCCATTCCCTTTGAATAAAGGGTCATTTGTGGTGGGAGATGTGGTCTAGACTTCTCTTTCCTTCCCTGGCCACACCTGCTGTTCCCAGATCTCTTGGGCTTCTCCAGACAAGCTGTCATGCACCTGATTTTTGCAGTTTTCCCGCAGAATGCTTCCAGAAGTTTGGAGTCTGACTACCAGGGTGGTATCTGTTTGTGACTGACCACTTCTATTCATTCAGCAAGTCTTGATTGAGTTGTTATTATGTGCCACATATGAGGGGGCGGTGAGAAGTTAACTACACGATCCCTGCCCACATAAAACTTGCACTGTGGCTGTCATGGTGGGTCCTGCAGCTCTGTCCGCACTCAGCTCACTCTCCCTTCTCCACCAAGAACTTGCATGTGGTTGAGCACCATGGCATGCTACTGTAACTCCAGCTACTTGGGAGGCTGAGGCAGAAGGATAGAAGGCCAGCCTGAGCAATTTACCGAGACCTTACCTCAAAATAAAAAATAAAATAGGTTGAGAGTGTAGCTCAGTGGTAGAATGCCAAGTGGGTTCAGTCCACAATGCTAGGGAAAAAACAAAATAAAACGAACAAACCAGCATGTGCTTTCTGGTAAGCAGGTGTCTGCACACCCAAGAACAGTCTTGCTGGTCTAAACCTTGCCTGCATGGTCCTAAGCTCCTGGGGATTGGAACCTGCACTTCTGGCTCTTGTGCAACATCTGTCTGTGTACCCGAAACCCCATTCCTGCTCTGCACATGGGTCTTAATACAGCCTCAGGTTGCTAACCTCTGGCTTGGCCAGTTGAATCACCTTTTTACTATTATTATTATTATTATTTAATTTATTTATTTATTTTGAGACAGGGTCTCTCTGTATAGTTCAGGCAGCCCCTGAACTCGTTATGTAGCCTGGGCTGGCCTCGAACTTGCAGCAGTCCTCCTGCCTCAGCCTCCCAAGTGCTGGGATTACAATGTGCCACCACGCCTGGCTTGAATCACCTTCTGACTTCATTTCTCCTAAGTGTGCCGTTTTTCTCAAGACGTCTTCATCTTTGCTACCAGAGCAAGCTCTTCTGTCCTTGGTCGCCTCTGGTTATTGTTGCTGAACTGACTCCAAGCTATGTCCTTGACTCAGCTCACACTTGCTAATCTTTAAACCAGAAGAGGTCCACACATATTTCAGGCACCCTAGACCCGTCTTTCACATTCTAGCTTCCTCTTTTTTCATATGACAAACATCCTGTTGATTCTTTCTTCACTATGTCTTCATGAAGCTGTTGGTTGCTCCTTTTCCATAACTTCCTCCCTGCTATGGTGCTTGCGTTTTTGTAACTGCCTCCTGACTCTGCTCTCTGCTCTGCTGACACTGGCATTGTTGGTAGTACTGGTGCTGTGGCCAGTTTTGTCTTCTGCAGTCCCTCCAACTTGGTTTCCTGGGCCATTCTGCTGACCAGGTCTGGGTTTTTTGTGTTTGTTTGTTTTTGTCTTTTTGAGACAGGGTCTAACTGTGCAGTTCAGGCTGGCCTTGAGCTCACTTTGTAGCCCAGGCTGGTCTTGAGCTCATAACGATCCTCCTGCCTCAACCTCCCGAGTGCTGGGATTACAGGCGTGTGCCACCACGCCTGGCTTGAGCAGCTGTGGTTTTATCTCACTTGTTCTGGCTACAGGTGGTCATTGAAGTTTGTCACATTTAGCCCTCATGTTTCCCTGCCCACTCACTAACTCCATGCTACCTTCTGAAGAAGGGCTTAGCTTATTTCCTGCTTCTTGCAGAGTCTCACTACCTGGGATGCCAAGCTTTCTGTATTTTAAACCTTCCCCCATCCCAGGAGAGTCAGCCTGTGCTCTTCCTGTGGAGTGATGTGTCCCAAGGGTGTGAGCCCTGGGATCCTGGCCTCTTGCACATACATGGTACATATAGCCTGAGATAGAACTAGGCCTGCAGAGGGAACCCAAAATTGCACCCTGTCCAGTAGAGTTCCTGGAACGGCCTCTCATGCCCAGTTGCTGGGAGTTTGGGCCTGGCAGTATGGCACCTCTGTGCTGAGGAGGAGGTAGTATGGCCCCAGCCCTTGCTTCTCCTTTCAGTAGCCCCTTGTCCAGTCCTTTGGTATATCTATATGTGCTGTCCAGGATCCTTGCTCTCTGCCTTGTCTTCCTATGTTGTCTGCTTACTGTCACCCTCTCACTCCCCTCTCCAACTCAGCACCACCCTTTCAGAGCCCCCCGCCATGTCACTGTATTGGGTTACTGCCTTGTTGTCTTCTTGCTGGGCTTTTGAGTCCTGGGAAGGCAGAGTCCCTCTGACTTCATCTCTGCTCAGTGCTGTGCACAGAGTAGGCATATTTTGGGCATATTTTGGGCTCCGGGAGATCCCCAGCAGAGGAATGGCTGGGATTGTCCTAATAGTCCCTTCCACCTCTGACCTGTGTTGTCTTCTGTGGGTTAAGCCAGTTACTCAAAGTGACCACTGTGTGCGTGCCCTGGCCAGAGAGAGAAAGAGCTGCAGTGTGACCTATTCAAGCAGCTCTGTTGGTCTTTGCATTGATCCTGAAGGGCAGGTGGCAGAAATCAGAAGAGCTGCACTTCTGGGCATGGTGGCACATACTTACAATCTCAGCACTAGGGAGACTGAGGCAGGAGGATTGCTGTGAGTTTGAGGTCAGCTTGAACTACATAGTGAGACCTTGTCTCAAAAAACAAAACCCAGAAGAGACGTACTAAAAGAACTGAGGGTAAGGCCAGGAGAGGGTAATTGAGAATTTAAAAGGCAGCATCCAGTGGACATTTGAGGGGACAGTTCCAAAGGAGACAGGCCACTCTGTGGTCCCCTAATTGTCATCCAGTAAGAATCCTGAAGACCATATTGCAAGCAGGGGCCACCTCTGAGAGGTTTTCTGAGGCCTCATGATGGGGTTGGGTGAAGACCCTGCAGTCCAGTCATCTTCCTTATGCCCTGTCTCCTTTTTGGCTCACTCTTGCACCTCCCTCCCTGGTTATTTAGGGAGGGTCCTCTAATCTGTGGAGGTTTCAGGACCCTGCTCTGTGGCTGAAGGTGTAGAGAGCTACCCTTTCTGACAAAGTGCCGTCCTAGAGCAGCCATTTTAGGGCTGGGTGTAGAGGGAAGTTGGGTAGGCTGGGTGTTGAGTCTGGAAGCTCTGACCTGGAGAACAGGAATTGCCAGATCAGCTGCTCCTGACCCTGAGGTGGCAGGGCTTGTACCCCACCTGTGGTGGCAGTTCCAGCTTATTTGCCCTTGTCACACAGGGACTGGCTGCTGGGGTCCATTCGTTCTCTTCTAGGCCTTTCCTGACTATAAGTACTGGAGACTTCAAGTGAGACAAAAAAGTGCCTAGAATCTTAAGCAAGGCTTTTGGGGCTTAGTCCCAGTGCCTTAGTCCTCTGTAACTGGCCAGCCGGATGTCACAGGCAGCAGGCGGGGGGAGTCCCAGGGAGCAGGGTAGAGCTTCGTAGCAGAACAGGACCCCTAGACAACCACAAGGGCACCTCAGGAGGAAGTGTGGGGTGTGGGGATGCAGTGAGAGCACTGGAGTAATGGCTGCACCTGTGGCTGTTGCTCCTGCAGAGCTCCTCCTCCTCCATGAGTGGTAACTTGGGGATCCCTCACAGCTGTGCCAAAGCTGCCCCCAGGGTCCTGTCTGAGCAGTGCTATTCTGGGCTGATCTCATCTTCTTCCCACAGCCCTGGGTGCTGCCTATGGCACAGCCAAGAGTGGCACTGGCATCGCAGCCATGTCCGTCATGCGGCCAGAGCTGATCATGAAGTCCATCATACCAGTGGTTATGGCTGGCATCATCGCCATCTACGGCCTCGTGGTGGCAGTCCTCATCGCCAACTCCCTGAATGAGGGCATCACTCTCTACAGGTGAGTGTGGCATGCCTTTCTAGGTGCTGTCTTCCCTGGCAGGCAGGCTGCTAATAGTCCTGTGTCTCTTCTCTCCCCTAGGAGTTTCCTCCAGCTGGGTGCAGGCCTGAGTGTGGGTCTCAGCGGCCTGGCAGCTGGCTTTGCCATTGGCATTGTGGGGGATGCCGGCGTGCGGGGCACTGCCCAGCAGCCCCGACTGTTCGTGGGCATGATCCTGATCCTCATCTTCGCCGAGGTGCTGGGCCTCTACGGTCTCATTGTGGCCCTCATCCTCTCCACAAAGTAGCCCAGCTCGGGCCTACCAGCCACAGAATACTATGTAAAGACCATCCCCCCATTCCAGAACGAACAGCCTGACACACACCCACGGGTCACCACCCCCTCCGTAGTTGGTCTTGTAAATGCGCAGTGTCCTAGTGCCCATCTTCTGTTGCCCCGCCTGCCCCTTCAGCCCCATGCCGTGGACATCTGGGCCCATTCATCACCCATCCAGGCCCCAGACCAGTGAGGATGCCGGCGTCTGGCCCCCTCCACCCATCGTCCTAGAGTGCTCTGTGTATAAGGATGAATTAGAGTTGTCATTTTCTCTTCACTGGATGTTTATTTATAAAGATTTGACCTGTTCCGACTTCTGTGGAGCAGCCCTGTCTCTTATCTATATAGTAGCCTTTAGGTAGAGTGTTGCCTTGGGATTCCCAGCGCTGAGACCGAGGATGGACCCACCCTTCCGCCGCCTTCGGACTGCGGGGTCTGGAGGGCAGAATGCCGGCCCCGCCAGGCCCTGGCGCCATGCTGTGTCCAATAAAGTTCTTGGATGTGACCAGAACCAATGTCTTAGTCTTTGGGCGGGGCAGGGAGGGGCAAGGCAGGCGAAATGGATCGGGCCTGCGGCTGCGGCACAGCGGCGCCATTGATCACATGGGCTGCGGCGTCACGTGGCGCACCGGTCACGTGGGGCCCTCCCCCCGTCAGCTGATGGTCACGTGGGCTGGCTGCCGGGGCTGTTTCCTGAACGCCGCGGATCCGGCGTTGCCGGCTCGGGCGGCTCACTATGCGTGGTGGGCAGGGCGCAGAGCGGGCACCGGTGCTCCAGTTCACCAACTGCCGCATCCTGCGCGGTGGCATGCTGCTCAGGTGCGGGGGCGCGGGGCGGGGGGTCGGGGCGGGGTCGGGCCGGCTTGCTGAACGCCTGCCACTCCCTTCCGTCTGCAGGGAGGACTTATGGGTACGTGGGGGTCGTGTTCTGGATCCTGAAAAGCTGTTTTTTGAGGAGCGGCGCGTGGCCGATGAGCAGCGGGACTGCGGAGGCTGCATCTTGGCCCCGGGCTTCATCGACGTGCAGATGAACGGTGCGGCCCGGCGGGGCCAGGGGACCCAGGGAAAGAGCCGTGAGCACCATGCAACCCCTTCTTTTCTGTGGCCACAGGTGGATTTGGTGTTGACTTCTCCAGGGCCACGGAGGACGTGGGTTCGGGTGTCGCCCTGGTGGCCCAGAGGATCCTGTCCCACGGTGTCACCTCTTTCTGCCCCACCCTGGTCACTTCCCCACCAGAAGTTTACCATAAGGTGAGGTCAGGTTCCTGTCCTCAGGCAAAGAGGGGCCCAGGTGCAGCCAGCCCCTTAACTTTCATGCCCTTCCCCCACAGCACACTCCCTGGCAAGGGAGCTTGGCCTCCTTTCCAGTTGGTTGTGGATCCCACCCCGGTGGCGTTTCTCCCATCAGTTGCCCCTCTTTCTAGTCTCTACCCGCTTTGCGGCTGGCTACAGGCTGGCTACACATTTGCCTCTTAGCATACAGCCACAGGCCCTTCCTACCCTGATTAGCCATCTCCCGGCCTCAGGACCAGGGTCTCTGGGGACTCAGGATATAACCAGAGACGCTGTGAGGCTCTTCTTCCCCTAACCTGCCTGTGGTGTATGACTCACTTGAACCTACCTTCTACAAAGAGGTGCTCCCTCCATGCCTAAGCTACTCTGTCCTGAATCCCCCACCCTCCTTCGGTTAGAAAGAATTCTCTTATCCTTGTTTGGTTTTCCTTCTAGTTTTAACTTGAGTTGGTTCTGCCTGCATGTATATTGTCTTTTACAGGATCATTTTCATGTAAGTTTGTGTAAATCATGCATCTTTATTTCATAATACTTAACTATCTTAAAAACGTGGGTATTCTCTTAAGCAACCACAATACAATTGATGAGTTTAGGAAATTATCACGGTTAGTCATACTGTAATGGAGCCGGTCCATTCCCGTTTTGTCGGTTTTCCCAGGTGGTTTTCCCTTCAATACAGGATCCTTTCAGATTGGAGAATGTGTGACTGCCCCTGGGTCCCTTTCTGGATGTATGGACACACAATCAGAGCAGGGAGCTATGAGGGTAGTGTGTGAGCTCTGAGTTTGGTGCTTCCTGGGCTTGCTTCTGGCTTCCTAACTTGTCACATGAAAGACTCAGGAAAATCTTACTTCTTTTTGAGCCTCAGTTTCCCCGAAGTGGGAATGATTAATCTCAATCTCTTATGGTGGTAGAGTGCTCGGCATAACTTGGTGTGTATTAAGCGCTGAGTAAGTATCAGCTGGGGATGTCTTTCTAGAACTATCCCACAACTCTTTCACAGCAAATGTCAAAAACCAAACTCACTTTTCCACTGCCAACAGGAACCTGGTTCTCTTAGCCACCTTCCCAAGCTCTGGGTCGTGCCAGCTGTCTCTTGCCCCATGATACCCCCTTCTCACCTGAAGAGCCTCTTTTTTTCTCCCCAAGCACATTCCAGCAAACTCCAAGTGACCTTCCTCCTGCCCCCAAGCTCTGCCTGGAAGGCTTTATTCTCCTGATAGCCAGCTGCTCCCATGCCACCATTGCCACCTCCTCTTCTATGTCTTGCTTCAGCAGCAAGTCTGCCCAGCATGATGCAGAGAGCTGGCTCTTTTTCCTTGAAGGAAGACTCTAGTGAGTAGTGCTTGTGTTTGTTTCCTGGCTGCCACTGCAGTCCAGTACCTTAAAGACTGTCTGACAAACTTTTCCTTGGAAGGCAGAGTGCAAACTGTTGATGGTAGAGATTGTAGAGGGCCTTGGATGTGAAAATGTAACACCAGTGTAATCTTAGAAACCAGAGGACCCTTGCCCCATCATGCATGCTTCTTCCTCCAGGCTCCTTTCACACACTGAATTGCCTTTGCCAGAAGTTACCCAGATCTTTTGTCATTAAGATCTGCTTCATTGATACCACCTCCTCTTTTTCTGATGTGTCCTTTAGCCCTGCAGTTTGCTATCCTTCCAAGAGGCAAATCTGATGGCATTGTTTCCTGCTTCAAGCTACTTATCTGCTGAGTTGAGGTTAGGTACCTCCTCAGGGGTGGCATCCTTGCCATCCGCTCTGGCCCCACATGCCCTCCACATTTTTTACTCTTCCAGAGGCTTGCCTGCATTCTTTGTTTTCTGATTAGTGCTCTCTTACTTTCCTTTTCAAAACTCTATTCTAGGAAAATTCAATCTTGTTATAATTTTTAACCTGTAATGAAATTATATGTCCACATAGCTTGGAGGGAAAAACAGAAGACCCTTGCCCCTAACCAGGTCTTACCCTAGGCTTCATCACTATCGCTTCCAACTCAGCTCTTCTTCTTCTCCTTTTTTTTTTTTTTTTTTTTGGTCTTTTGAGGTAGGGTTTCACTATACAGTTCAGGCTGGCCTGCAATTCTTAGTGATCCTCCTGCCTCAGCCTTCTCAGTGCTGGAATTACAGGTATGTGCCACCACACCTGGCCCTCACAACACAGCTCTTCCTTTTGGAATTTACCCACTTATCTCACACATATGCTGGCTTTCTACTTGCATTTTTGGTTTAGGGCAATATCTATTGTGTCCCACTGGGAATGTTGAGGATGAACATTAGCCTTCTCTAATCTACTTCCAATCCCTTTTCATTATCAAATAGTTACCAGTAACTTTGATTAGATCTGTATTGCTCAGTCATTGGAGCTGTATGAAAGTTACATTTTCTTATCTGCCAATTCTGCTTTCCCTGGAGTTAATATTCTTTGCTTGTTTTGTTTTTTGTTTCTGCTTTTTCCAGCTACTAACGCACCTGCAGGCTTCCTGCTAGTTGTCTCCTTTCAGGCAATTTACTTTTTCTTTTCTTATTTTGAGACAGTATCTTGCTATGTAGTTCAGGCTGGTGTTGAGCTCTCTATGTAGCCCAGGATGGCCTTGAACTCATGGCAGTCCTCCTGCCTCACCCTCCCAAGCTCTCAGGCAATTTAGATGCGATACAGACTCCATTAGTTTTGTCTTCCCGCTCTTTCTAGCACTAGCTATTGATTCACCAGAATCCAGCTGTCCTGGGAAATCCTATGCTCTCTCCTAGAGCTGGGCTGGGGGCAGTATTTCTTGGCCTTTACTACTGAGTTTCTCATGTCCTAGATCCTCTGTCTTCCTCTTAGCTGCTTTACAGTTTTAGTGGAGTATATACTTCAGTAACTTCCAACAAAGAGTCGTGGGAGGGTAAATTCTTGAGATTACAAAGTCTGAAAGTGACAATTCTGTTGATCCTTGGCTTAGCTGGGTTAAGAGTTATAGGTGAGAGGTCATTTTTCCTGAATTTTGTTTGTGTCTGGGACCTGTGGCCTTGAGAATGCTAAGTTTGTACTCAACCACTGAAATACATCCCCAGCCCAAAGCTCCTGGGCTCCACCCAACATTTTAACTCTTTTTCTTTTTGAAGCAGGATTTTGCTACGTTGTGCAGGCTGACCAGGAACATCTGGGCGCACACTATCTTTTCAAGTAGATGGGACTACTACTGTGCCTGGCTTCTCCCCCAGAATGTTAAAGGCAGTGCTAAGATTGTCTTTGAAATTCCAGGGTAACTGCTCAGAAGCTGTTTGATCCCTGATCCTCTGGGTGATTGATTCTTCTCTGTGAAGCTTGCACAATCTGTTCTCTGTCCCTGGATCTGAGGTCTCAGAAGAGCATGTTGTGGAGATTGAGGAGTGTTGACCCATCTGCTGTTTGCTGAGCAGTCCTGTCAAGGTGGAAGCTCTGCTTTGGAGTTTTGTTTTTCTTGAATTATTTCCTTGGTTACTGTTTTTTTGAGACAGGGCCTCGGTATGTAGTGCAGGCTGGCCTATGTAGCCAAGGCTGGCCTCAAACTCATGGTGATCCTCCTGCCTCAGCCTCCCTAGTGCTGGGATTACTGGTGTGTACCACCGTGCCTGGCTTCCTTTGTGACTTTTCTGTTTGTTATTTTATGGGAGTCCTACTAGTCCACTGTTGGGTGTCCTGGCCACACTTATTTTTCTGTTCTTCTCCTCCTCTTCTTTTTTTGGATTCTACTTTCTAGATACTTCCTAAGGTTTTATCTTCCAGTTCTCTTGGTTCTCTTGCTTTGGTGCTTGCATATTTTTAGTTTTAAAGAGCTTGTTTTATTGCCCCCTGAATGGACCTTCATTTCTAATATCCTGTTCTTGCATCATGAATCCAAGACCTCTCCTTGCCCTGAGAGTATTAGTGATGGCTTTTTGCTGTGTACTCTGCTCTTGGTGTCTGCTTTTCTCTGCTCAGTCTTCTTGTGGGCTGCTTCCTTGCATGCTGCCTGGGAAACTGTGCTGCATTTGAAGGCTGACACTAATAGGCTGCTGAAAGAATCCAGCCTTACAGCGCCTGCCTGGCAAGCGCAACGTTGTGAGTTCAATTCCCGGTACCGGAAGAAAAAACCAAAAAAAAACCAAAAAAAAAAAAAAAAAAAAAAGAATCCAGCCTTAGGATGGGGGTGCTTCTTGGGGGACACCTACAGGTCAGGATCCCAGGGTCCTGACTCGGGCTTGTCAGATTCC